CAGAACAGAAGGGAATTTAAAGGAAGCCTGGGCATTTAACATATAACATTTCCGTGATGTGATTGTTGATGAGCAGTTGCATTTGCTATAGCAATCAACTACACTACTTATTTGTTTTATAAGTAGGTTTAAGGACTATCAGTAAATCGACTTAGTTTTCTGTCGAATATATATCTACCCTTATACTGCATATTTAAGAACAAGATAAGTAAAAATAGGGAGTGTTTATCTCCTTTTTTGCAGCATTTTGAGAAAACCATTAGATGATATATGAGGCATATTCAACCTTGTTTGTTTAGGGTAATGAAGGACTGTATTTCAGCTTAAAGGAGAATACCTTTGAGAAGCAAGACAATGTAGATTCAACTATCAGTCCTTCATCACTAAACAAATTAGGCTAAATACATCTCATATATATGATTTACTAGTAGTCTCGATAAATGAATTATAAAACGAAAAAAAGAAATCAAAAATGCTTATTTTTATCTATCTTGGTTTGAGATATACATAATAAACGTCAATATATGAAATTTAATATTGGAAATAAAAGCAGAGGTGAAAAGATAGCTACGATTTTAAAAAATATATCAATATCCTTTTTTTAAAAATTCAATATAGAGCTTATATCAAAAAGAGATGGAAATTTCTTGAGTTACATATCTTTGTGCAGGTCATTGACACGGACTCCGCTCAGCTGATGCAATTCATCGATAGAGCCAACACAAACCAATTCCTCGTAATCTTTACTAGCCCAGATTGGAATCGGGGTACCCCAGTAGCGGTTTCGTGAGACGGCCCAATCACGTGCACTACGCAGCCAGTTGGCAAAACGACCTTCCCGAACGAAATCAGGCACCCTAGTAATAATATATAGGGTAAATTAATTACAATTTGACACATCGAAGTGCTATACAGGGATTATGAAAAGGCAACAATGGTCGTGAGATATTTAAGGAGCTGGTGTTTTGATTCATATTAAGCTCTGAATTCAAATAAAGACACCAGAGGTAATTTTCCATTAAGATTAATTTTGAAAAAGAGTGTAAAACCAAATAAAGAGTAATCGATCATTATCAATATCAATAAAAACTTTTGTTCAAAAGTAAATTAGTTCGATAAGTTTTAGCGTAATTTACACTGAAAATCCGGAATGGAATTCTTGTAAATATTGCTGTAATAGAAGTGATAAAAAGGGTGCATTTGATGCTCGACATAAAAATGATCCACTATAAAACATATGTAGAGTGAATTGTAAAATTTGAACTAAATTAGTCATTTCAGACAAAAAGACGAAAAAATAAAACTACGAAGTCCAGCCATTTCAAGTTTATCAATAAAAAAGAACAACAAAATATAAACAGAAGCCAATCATCACTATACACCAGAGTAATCCTATTTGTCTACCCTCTCGTGTTGAGTGGGAATACGTGAATAATATTGCTTATTCCATTTTCTTAATACTGCCTAGTTAGCAGGAAAGGAGGCATAAGCACTTTTCTAAGTCTTTCTTACTCTTAAGGTATGTAGAAAAACTGCGTTTTGAAGAATCCCTTAATAAATTGATGTTGGATTACCTTTCATTTCGTTTGAAGAGTGAGGTGGAAGGAATTCGTAAGTTAGTCTCACCGAAGGCTGTAGGGGGATTGACATGGAGCTGTGATAGTAGATTTGTTCAAATAGGTCATTGGTGCACATCTAGGCAAAGCATAGGATATATGAGATATATTCATCCTATTTCGTTTAAGGTGATGAAGGACTGGTAGTATAATTTTCCCATAATGATATGAGTAGAGCTGACGTTTCCATCGAATTTTACAGAGCCTTGCTTTTCCAAAAGTTGTTCTCATCCGGAGTGGACTACAGTTTCGACCTCGCATAGGTCTTATCAACACGCTGAGAGGGAATCACATCATTGTGGGAAGATTCTACTACTAGTCATTCATCACCTTAAGCAAAATAGAGTGAATACATCTCATATAACTAATTTACTGGTTATCTCGAAACTCTACTTATATACGAAAATAAGGCATAGGATATCCAATCAAAACATAAGATGCTTGATTAAGTGGACCAATTCAGACTATTAGAAAAAGGTTTGCTTGAAGAGGCCATCTTTTTTGTCTGCGCGTTTTCGTGAATTAGCGTTAAGCAATGCTCTGACGATGTCCGTCATAAGACGGACGAAGGGTCAGCAAGGGTTCATCGGGTTTGCAGGGCGTTGTGCCGAGGACCTATTCGGATAAAGCTACGATCACATCTCCAAAGCAATCTCCCTACAGCTTCCTGTTAGACCAAATTACGAATACATTCCACTCGCCTCTTCAAACCAACTGAAATGTAATCCAACATCAATCTATACAGGGATTCTTCGAAGCCCAATATTGCTACATACCAAGGATATACAAAGGCCAAGATGGTGTGGCCCTCAATATGGTCGAAGTCTCCTATAGATTTAAAGAATTGGGTTGACCTCGTTTTTGCAATGTGGCCTTGTTGTCAGGGCGACTTAGTTAAACACACCTTGTCCGAAGTCTTCTGATAGAGTAGTTATCATAATTCCCAACATCAGACCATGGACTTGAAACATTCTGACACGTTTCACCTGCATCGTCAGTGCCTAGATGACCAAAAATATGTTACGGCTGGTGCTGAGAACGGCAAAAGACTCACAGATTATGCCGATGAGAATACACCAAGTCCACGATCTGATTCTCAGGATTATAATTACTATGGCGTTCAAATAAGTCGTCCTGACAGCAAGACCAAGTTGCGTAAACGAGGTCAACCCGCTTCTTTAAAGCATAGGATATTCAAAAAAACCTAAGATGGTTAATTAAGTGGACGAAATTAGACTACAAGTAGGTAGAGAGGTTGTTTGACCTTGTTTTCGCAACTTGATCATATTGCTAGGAAGACTTAGAGGAACATATCTAGTCCGGAGTCCATTGTATGCATAATCATTTCTAAAGTCGGATCGTGGGCATGGTACATTCCCAGGCATTTCGCCAGCATCATCAGTGAGTCTCGCCATTCTTAGCACTACAGAACAACTCGTCAAAGAGACAAGTGAAGCCGATCCTTTGACCAAACGTGTGCTAAACAGTT